AGGGAAGCGAAATATCTCTAATAATGTTAATTACAGGAACAATTATGATTTTAGGAATATATTTTTTATATATGTTTTTGACTCATAGAAACAAATATTGCTCTATAAAACAATTATTTTTTTTATTTTGGGGGCTCACCCGAAATTAACCTCGAATTCACCAGTGGTGTCAGGTGGAAAGATGTTAAAGCTGAAAGTATGGCAGATCGAGAACGAACATAAGAGGAAGTAGGTGTGGAAGAACAGAGGGGGAAATTTGCTGAGTCAAACTCCAATTTATTAAGAAAATTTCTCTTAGTTAAAAAAAAAAATATTAAATCATATTTCCGATATAAATGATGATTATTTCATATCATATCTGCTCCTAACCAAAAAATTAAAATAAAATAAATAAATTCTTAGCAAACCAAAAAAATAAAGTCGTAAAAAATGAATAATATATTTTGTGCTTATATTATTAAGACAGAAAGCAAGGTTACAAGATAAAATTAGATCAAGAGATAAATCTAATTTTAGATTTGAAACGAATCTACATTGAGGACAGTAGTAATGAACTTGACTTGTTATCAATAATTAATGAAAAATTACAAAAATAATACTTTTTTTCCAATTTAATAATCCGTATCATTACATTGGTAAATTACAAAATTTATCATTCTAATTATGTAGGCTGTTACAATATAAATATTTATTGTAAAAATATTATAAATATTAAATATTATATTTATTATATCATATTATAAATATTAAAGGTATAAATATTTATACCTTAGGGGTAGAGGCTAAACAAACAAATAAAAAAAAATATTAAAAATATATTTATTAAAAATTTAAAACTAGGCAACTGATTTAAACGTTTAGATATTGAAAACATTTAATATATCGGTTTTAATGAATATCATAAATGAGTCAACAATGGACTATAAAACGTTTCAGATTTTAATTTTCTCTTTATCATTGATACTAAAAACTATTATAACCAATAAAGATACTTCTAATTATGGTGAGTAAAATATAAGTAGTAAAAATTCATTTCTCGATGCCTTACTAGAAGCTAATCAAAAGTGAAATTAATTATCGCTTATAAATCAGTTTTGAAATAATTAATAATTAAAAAAAATTTTTTATGAGCTAATATGAAAAATTAAATTAAATAATTCATGCCATGTACTTTTTATTAGAATCATGCAACAATGATTACAAAAAATGAATGAATAGAATAAAAAAAAATCATTTGGAAATCTATACTATTATATAAAAAGATAAACCGGTTTGCGTTTGTAACTGCTAATCGTGAAAACTGCTATACCAATTTACACACTTTTTTTGCAAATTATGTTGTTTCAAGATGATTTAACACTAATCAAATCTTATATCTGATAGAAATAGTGTTGAAAATAATTTTAACTTAATACATTTTCACCAGAACTTTACCTATCCTTGCAAACTCCCCCTAAACCCCCTTGCAAAATCCCTATCCAGCACCACCTATCCCTACAATCCTCCTCGAAGGTTAAAGCGGCAGTAGCCCAGAGACCTTTTGTGAATAAGTATACATTGGAGTTTTGGCATTGGCCATATTCTCCACTCAAGCCATGTATTATAGCACCTCTGATCAGCCTCTGCGGGTCCTTAATACCAGTAATAAGGCTGAGTGAAAAGCCCTGAGATCTTCTACAGTCCTGCCTTTCCGTCCACGAGTGGGGAGAAAGGCTTGGCTCAGAGATCTGGAGTGAATGATTTTTAATTTTTTTTTTTAGATCTTGTATAGAAGCATGTGTGTATGTGGGTATTTATTTTTATTAGTTTAGTTTCATTTTGTTTAGTTTACTTTATTTTAGTTTATAAACATTTACTTTTAGTATTATTGTTTTTCTGTATTATTAATTTTTATTTATTGTTGATGGAGTGTGAATGTGCCCTCTGAAGACTATTATAAATGTCCTTAATTGTGACAGATTTTAATATCTCTCAATAAATATGTGAATATAAAAAAATACATAAGATATTCAATAAATATTCTAAATAATGTTTGATGTTAATTAAACATTTTACATTGTTGTCTAAATCCCATTAGGAATAATCAAAAATGCCAATTAAAAGACAAAATATTGATCATTCCACAAATGCAGCCAATAGAAAACGAGAAGAAAAACAATCGTTATAATTGGTCCTATTGTTTTCCCACTTAAATTTTTAATACTATTCAGTTGTTCATATGCACTTGGCCATGAACTCATCTGGTGAATGAAACAGGCATGTATAATCCAAGTTAAACATGAGTTTAACTTAATGATATTATATTATATTAATTACAAATTAGTAATTAGTAATTTTAAATAAGTCTCCAAGCATTTATGAAGAAAAGATTAAAATAATTCATTCTACTTAATTTATCAATAAATTTAAATAACAATCATTAAAAATGTACTTATATATTATCATGCAAAATTTATTTTTCATATTAATTTTCAAGAACTGGCAGAAGCCAAAAAAAGGTTATTTTTAGCTGTTTAAAATGGCTTCTATTATTGAGAAACTAAACCTGTTTAATAAAATTTTGATCGAAAAAATCAATATAACAATGTAAAACATAAACAAATGAAAAAAAAAAAAAAGCAACATTTATAACTATAATGTTGTAAATCCTGAATACTTCTAACTGACCGCTTATTAATCCATTAATTATTTTTCAACCATGAAAACCAACAGCAATACATCTTGATCAGAAATTTCATTTTAATATTTACTGTTAAATAAATTTTGAAAAATAGTTTTATAATAAACTATTTATAATTAAAATACAAGAGATAATGTATTCCAAATAAATATCAAATAAGAAAATTATTAGCAGATACTAGCGAATAATAATTTTAATTATTCATAAAAAAAATCAAATAAACCTGAGATGAAAAACACAAAGGGACAAAGTTAAATGATCAAGTTCAAGCCCGAAATAATAAGGCAATGAAAAATTTTAAAAACAAAATTCAAATATAAAATATTAATAATTTTTTAAGATTCGATTGACAAAACTAGGTGAGCAAAATCAGGTCATTATGAGGTAAGAACGAGAAAAAAAAGGTCTTTACTCTATGAAAGTACCTGCTGGCGAAGAGCCCAGTAGGGCAAAACTGACACGCACAAACTTATCACTGATTATGGAACAAGGCTACTTCAAACTGCCAAAACTGTCTGTCTTTTACAAGTTGGTATGAAACAAACCAACAACATGACTTCTTAATTCTGCTCTATTTACTCAATTACACTCAGTTTTTATTCAAATCAATATGGCCAAAATTAAGAACACAATACAGAAAAAAACAATCCTAAAAGAAATCATCTATTTACTCTCTTTATAAAAACTTTTTATTTATCAGAACAAAGTAAAACCGATGATAAGTCATATATTGATATGATACCTGATAACAATAATTGTTATGTATTGTTGTGAAAATAATTATATTTCAAGACCACACAGAAATATTCAATAAAATCATAAACAATCAATATTTAATACAAATAGCTATGTTAAATCACTAATTATATCAATCAAGAAAATTTGTCTGTTTTAAAGCACAAAAATTATTTTTAAATGAATTGTTCTATTTCTGAATGAAGGTTGACAGTTATTTTTATTCCAATTTAAATAAAGAACAAAATAACGAGATCAATTTCCCATTTAAAAAAAATTAATAGTTACATTAATTTTTAATGAACATCTGCAATTTCTTCATAATAATGCATTATATGATAAGTATATTGCTTATTAATAATATAGAAGGCATTATTTATTTTAAAAGACAATGATCAATTGTATTGAATATTTATAACAAGCCGAGAGAAAAATTGATTTCCCAAACTAGGTGATACAGCAGTATTAAGTGAGACAAAGAAAAATAGAATAACACTAAAACGATTGGGTCTTAGTCATGTATTTATATGAAGATAACGCTGAAAAATTGCGATTACAATTCATCTAATAATTTGACAATTGAAAAACATTGTAATACCAACTGACACAAGCGTAAATTAATTAAATTGTTTTCATAACTATATTATAGAAAGTAATGATGTTGTTATCAGTTAAATACATTAATGTTTCATGTAAAAATAACTATGAAGAAAATACAAAGCAAAGGGTAAATGTCCATGAGACAAATCACATAAAATGTTTAATGAAAATAAAATTAAATTCAAATTCTATTATTTACTGAAATCAATATCACCAAAAAAGATGACTGATAATTTTCAAAGTCAAAAGTGATTACTCACCTAGTGTAGAGATTGTAGTTAGTGGATGCCCCTGCTCACAGAAAACGACACTGTACAAAATTAAAACCAAAAATAGTTAAATTTCAACTACAGAATCGTAAAATTAAAATATTTGTTTTCAAAAAAACTAAAATAAAGGACAAGAGATTATAACCTACGAGTTAGAAAGCCGCGGGAGGTTAAACGGGCTGTCAAACTTCTCTCATATCCCCTACCTAAATAAATGCTATCAGATTCTGATGAGTGACATCACCAATCAAATCGGTTTTTATGATTAATTATCACTTTTAAAAGAAACTAATGCTATAGATAATATTTCTTTTCTTTATTACAACATTAAATTTAACCCCTCTTCTTTTTTTTTTTATTCTCAACTCAAAGTAATATTCGATTTTTTTTTTAAATCTGTACTGCATTAAATATTTTAATTTATTAGATAATATTGAGAATCAGAATACAGATAATAATAATGATTATTTTAAAGTTAAGTTTAGTTTCAATTATAGAACGTTTGTTACTGCAGGGGAATTGTAAATTACTTTATGACTGGCAAAGAAAACAAAACGAGCAAACAATCTTTTATCTTATTTTTAAAATTAAAATTAAAGATTTATGATTGATAATAGTTGGTCAAACAATAAGATTTTTTTTGTTCATTCGTTATCAACAGCTTGTCAGCTGACTGATATGATTGTAGCTGTCAACGATTTCAGTGGCTGGCTGGTCAGGTTACCTCTTCGTTAGTTAGTGGCGTCTTGAATTATTATTATATATCTCAATTTATTAATATTATATTGTTTTAATTTGGGTTATTAACATCAGGTATCTACTCATGAGAGGTAATCAAAATGCTCAGCTTATATTAAAAATATTTCTGTTATTAGATTTAAATCATTATGCTAATCACATAAATTAATGAGATGTAATTAATGATTTATTTGCTTGAATGCAATGTGATTTTTTTTTTAAAGATTTCGCCTGTATATAGCATGAAGTAAAAAATAAATCATTATTTTTATTTTTTATATTTATTATAGATGCTTTAAAACCTCAGTTAATTTATTTCTTATCTCTTTGCATGGATCATTACAATGCAGCTTCTTAATTGACTTGTTATGCTTCAATATTTCATGTCTGTACACAGTTCAAATTAGAAATCGTGTCTATTAATTTTTGAATTTATTCTTTATATGAGCATAAATTGATGCATGAGTCTATATGTTTCAGTAGTTATCCATAATGAATGGAAATTTATTGCGGTCTCAAGGTTTATTGGCCATAGCTGTAGGTGCCGGAGTTGTAATTGGCGCTGCAGGAGTCTTTCTATATGAGCATCTGTTTAAAGAGAAAAGAAGGCTTATTTTACAAAAGGATGTAACGAAACTTGGAATATCGATTTCAGAGTTGAAAAAAGAACTACAAGAACTAAGGTATCATTGTTTGTTTACAGTTTACAGCATAATTGTGTCTGCTCAAAACTCTTCTACCACTGATTTTAATTTTTATTAATACGCAAGTTATTATTTCATGAAATTTCTATCTTATGGCAGAGACTCTCAGAAGAGACTACGGCGTAATAGAATCAAAGCTGTTACTTATGCCACTACAGATCTTGAATCCGAAACACAATCTGTTGTAGAAGATCTAGATGATGATGAATTTTATGACTTATCCGATGATGAAGAAACGGCAGTAAATTCAGTTAGTCCGAGTGATGGTCAGTCTTCAGAGTTTCAAGAAATAGATGCTTTGTTGGTTGGTTCTGAAGAAGATAAAAGAAGATGCCTAGAAAAACTCGAAGATATGTACAATCAGGTAAATTTATCTATCTTAAAATATTTGTATTGACAGAATTTATTTAAGTTCATAGTTTTATGTCTATCCGTCTTTCAAGTATTGTTAATAAAGTTTTAAAACATATTACTCATTTGGGATTTTTTCTTTCTTGAACCACAACTTAGATAAATTCACAGACTGTAACATTGTTAACAATTTTTAATAATACCAAAACAGTACGTGGTTTGATCAATTGTTTACATCATTAAAGCATTATATATATCAGGCAATTTAGTGAGCAGAATGGGTAAATAAACAGTTGAATGAGAAGTTTTAGATTTTTATCTTACCTAATATTTAATAGAGATATAATGTGATAGAAAGTGGAAGGTTTTCAAGATTTTAATTGATATTAAACAATTTTAATGAAGATAAAAGAAAGAATGTAATTTAAAATATTGAATTTATACTCTTGTTTTTATAACTCACTGCTTTTCCAACTACAAGTTTACGATTTGTGTCAAATGTACCAATAATAACTGTTGTTAATATTAAAGATAAGAGATGTAGAAAGTAAAGATTGTGTTATGGTACATTAACTAAAAGAATACTGTATATTTATCACTGCTTCTAAGTTGTTCTAAAGTTTTTGTTAAAACAGAATTATAATGGTGATACTTCCTTATTTAAAAGTAATTTTATTATTAATACATGTGACATATGGGTCAGAAACTTGGACCATAAAAAGCAACGTCAGGAAGAAACTTCTAGGCACCGAAATGGATTACTGGAGACGAGCGGGGAAAATATCCAGAATGGATAAAGTGAGAAATACAACCATCAGAGAAGAGATGGAGGCTAAAAGAACCATTCTGGAAGAGATTAGGAAAAATGCCTGAAGTGGTATGGACATTTGAAAAGAATGCCTGAAGGAAGACTACCCAAAGAAGTCCATTTATGGAAAATTAAGGAAAGAAGAAGACAAGGAAGGCCTACTATAACAAAATGGAGGAATCCATGATGGGTCATGATCTACGGGAACAATGGACCTTAGATACGGCATTATGGAAAGAAGCTATCCAAGCATTTTAGGTTAAGGAAACCCACTATTAGTGAAAACTCCTAATATAGAAAATAAAAAATACATGTGTTAATAAGCAAGAAAATATATACATTTTTTTTATGTATTAAATACGAATCTTTGATTTGTATCAACATTTTCACTTGAATTTGAATTTAGAACTTAGACAAGAAAATATATTTAAATTATTTAGAAGTGAAAGCTATTGTAATAAAAGGCAGGATTTTTAAAAAAAAATTAAGGCTGTTTCTCTGGAAAATAAATTATATCAGTGAAAATATGTTTAAATAAATATAATGCAAACAATGTTTTTTTTTTCTAATTCTGTTGATGCTAATACATTTTGATTAGCATGAACATAACTGTCATTTTTATGCATATTAAATGCATTTTGTTATAAATTTGATATTTTCAGTGAGAAAATCTTTCAATTAAATAGAACTGTAGTGTTCTCATCCTTTATAAATTAATATTGCTTTAAATATTCATTATTTTATTTCTTATTTTCAGGATAGAGAAAATCCGGAAGTTTTATGGAGGTTTGCAAAATGTTGCCACTCAATTGCTACCATAAAAGAATCACAAAATGATCTTGAACAGAAGAAACAATACATAGCCAAAGGTACATATTTTATTTAATACAATATATGTTTATGTATTTATGTCAATAGATTTGTTTGTGTGTGCATTAATATATGTGTGTTCTTTTTAATTTAATATTTGGATTTTTCTATATGATTTAAAATATCTCCATGAACTCACTCTTCTTTTCAATTCAATACTTATAACAGAAAAAACGAGCAATGTTTTGAGGCCATTTATGTAGCAAAATCTTGAATTTTTTTTATGATAAATCTTAGGCATCTAAGCAATAACAATTAAACAAAAATTTTAATAAATTCATATTTTACATTCATAATTAATTTACTCACTTTGCTTATCATCAAGTTTTATTTTATGAACATCACTTAATCATTAAATGCCTTATTTGCCTGTAATTAGATGAATAAATTCATTTAATCCATGAATGTTGTTTTTTCCACAAGGCAGAAATCATAGTTACATAAAATTCAATTTTTGGACTCTGTGGAATATTTCTTTAATGCTGTTGATTATCACATGAATATTTATCTCATTTTAAATTAATTACCACAAAAGTTAATGGAGGCATGGGAAATATTTATGTAATCTTAATTTTTTTTTAAAAATTTATTTCAATTTTGAAAAAACAAAACAAATGACTAAGCTGAAAAGCAAATCAGCTGAAAAATTAATAAGCTAGATTATCAAATTCAAGAGGTTCTTCTGAGTGCAGAGGTGTTTATAAGAGATAAATATAATTAAATTTTAAAATCAGTTTGAAGGATTAGTGATTATTAAATTTGGATGTTTGAACCTTAATTATATAATAATAAATAATATCAGATAACCAAAGGTAGAAGAACTAACTTCTCATAACATTCCTTGATCATAAACAGTGATAACATTGGATCATTTTAATGTTTTTTTAAGCCATATTGTGTTTTCCATTATTAATGTTTTACTTTCAACATAAGATTTATCTACATCTTTCTCTTCCGATATCTTTCAAAAAAATAAAGCGAAAAGAGAGAGATGATGACTATCAATTATGAAAAGAAATGAAATGAAAAAGTAATTTTATTCTAGGACTAAATTCCCCTAATAATAATAACAGAGTTTGAAAATTATGCCCATTAGTCTGGTTTGAATAAATATAAATTGGTTCTTGTCAGTTAACTGGTAATTTATAACTCAATAGATTGAGATCTGGTACTAAGAAAGTGGATAGAGAAACTTAGAATGAGGAGTTCTAGGATGTAAGGAGGATTTCTGTTCTGAGGACTTGGAAAAGGAAAACAAGAAGGCATTGCCGTCGGGAAGTAGGATACTCAGTGTACTAAGTACTCAGTATACCAGCTGAAAACATGAGAACACCTGGGAATCCCAAAGATGAATTTTATGAAACAATTCATGAGTCTCTTATGAAAACAATCTCATTTGTGTCCTTGCAAATAGCCATCCATACTCCAAGCAATTGTAGTCTAAGTAGGGGAAATCGATAGGTACAAAGAGCTGTCGGGTTTTTTGAGGAATAGAATCACGGATACTTAGAAGTTGTTTAAGGACAGTTATGGATTATTGTATTAGAATCAGTTTGATTAAGATCTAGCAGACTGTGAAAGATAATAAACTATAGATTAAGACGAATATCTATTTTAATGGACCAATTCTTGTAACATCAAGCCACAATCTAACATTTTTATTTGTCTGAGTCAAATAATGTTCATACCTAGTTCTGCCATAAATACTGTTAAAAAAGTTGAACTTTGTTTACATCCTTGGTATTATTTAGATAATCATTACTTCTATCAGGTCATTTTCTTTACATGTTAGGATAATTATCCCAATTTGTTTTCTTTCACTCAGTTAACATGAAGTGGGGTGATAAAGAAAACCGAATTGCTGTGATGGCCTTACACAAAGTTGGAAAATGTTGGTCAGAGATTTTCAACACTTTGTGTATCAGCCGTATGTTTGTGTATCACACTATAAATAGATATAATGAGACCCTATCTGTATGTGACAGACCTCGATGGGGTCGTCCCTACACTGTGAGAATGGCAAATGCAGTGAGAGAAGCGGATCTCGAATCAGAAGAAATCCCATTCGAAAACAACAAATCATCTCTTGGGAAATGGGAGTCTCTGTCAATCAGCATCTCGTTTAATAAAAAGTGATCTTAGGACGGGTGCCTTCGAAGAATGGCACGAAAAAGGCTAACCACTTCCATAAAAAAATTATAATGGATAGAGGCAAAGTGCTCCTTGGCCGTTACAACAATGGTCTTCATCGAAAGATTTTATTTAGCGATGAGAAAATAATGTTTCTTTTACGATTGAAAAAGAATGTAATCGCTAAAATGATTGTGTGTACGCACACAGCTCTAAAGAAGCCCAGGAAGTCATTGGAAGAGTGGAAAGAAGTCATCACCCTTCCTCAGTGATGATTTGATGGGTAATTTGCTTTGATGGCACCACAGAGCTTCATTTTTGTGTAAAAGGAGTTAAAACAGCCGCTTAAAACTATCAGGACGATATTTTGGAACCTGTTGTCAAGCCTCTAAATGATGCTCTGTTTGCTGGAAGTCAGGGTTTTCCAGCAGGATTCCTCTCCAGCTCACAAGGCCAGGTCAACTCAGCAGTAGCTGTAAAAGAACATTCCAGAGTTCATCTCTTCCTCGGATTGGCCCTGATCTCAACCCACTAGATTATCGGCTTTAGTCCGAACTGAAGAGGATGGCAGGCCACAGCGCACATCCTAACTTGAAAAGCCTCAAACAATCTCTCCTCGTCCGAGCAGTTGAGCACTTTCCTCGAGAAGTGCTGGGTGCTGCTATGCATGACTTGACCGCAGAGATCAAAAGCCTGTGTCAAGGCAAAAGGGGGACATTTTAAATAATTTCTTTTTTTATTTTACTCTCTATAGATATACATTTTATTTTCTAATAAAGTTTTTGAAAAAATTAATTTTTCTGTTGAAATCTGTATATATTTTCTTGTAACAATATCTATGACAGGAATGTGTAGTTCTTCAAATTTTTAAGGTTTAACTAAAATTAGCATGTTATATTTATTATTCAAACTATTATTGCTAATATTATGCCAACCAACTCGATAATGTATGTATTTATCTATTTCAAGGTTTAGAATATGCAACAAAGTGCTTAGAACTAGCTCCACGATCGTCCAATGCCCACAAGTGGTATGCAATCTGTATTGGTGCTCGGTCTGAAACTCAGGGCGTTAAAGAAAAACTCAAAGATGGATTAGAATTCAAAGAACACGTAGAAGAAGCTCTGAAGATCAAACCATCCGATCCGACTTTGCACTATCTTCTTGGAAGGTTTTTGTATGAGGTATGTAGTTTTTAAAAAACTATGTCGCTACTACTTTTTTAGGGCTAAAATCTTGGGGAAACATACTGTTTTGGAAGTTTTTTTTCTAAATTGCCATATTGAAGGGCAATAAGTAATAAAGCTGTAAGTGTTCTTTCATACAACATATACCTACAAAAAAATGATTTTTTGAATGAATCTATTTTTTTTTTTTAATTAACTAGTAATAATAAATAAATAAAATAATGAATTGAAGTAGAGTAAAACTAAAATACATTTATATATATATATATATATATATATATATATATATATATATATATATATATATATATATATATATAAATGTCATTGATTACATTCACCCAGGGGACTCTGAGCTAAATTGACAGAATACTAACTCCAATTTCAACATTTTTGAGTAAAGTCATTTTAGTGATATTTCTAGTTGGAAAATTTATAATATCTGCTCAGTCAGTGAGTAAGTTGATTCCAGAGTAGATGTTTGCAGTGTTGAAAAATATAACTGCGAATATAGGTATAAATTTTCCCACTAGAAATATAACTTTTTTTTTAAACTTCATTTAAGGCTTTTCTTCATAAATTGAAGTTTCCCTTAGCCAAACTCCTCCCTCATTCGGTTCCTCCACTTTTCCCTGTCCATTGCTTCCTCCTCCAATCAGCCCTCGGCCCACCATACTCTCAGCCACAACATCTCTCCTTCTAACAGGAAGCCTTCTCCTACCCTCGGCCTCCCACTCAAATTCCGTTTTGGGAAGTCGTTCGCTATTCATCCTAAAATCACTAAAATTAATAATCAAAAATGTTGAAATTGGAATTAGTCATTCTGTCAACTGAATGGCTCATATATATATATATATATATATATTAGGCGGACAGATGGTACCCTGCTAGTAATAAAATAGATTTGTTTTGTTTGTTTAGTTCGGGGTTCTCCTGAGTGAATGAATTTTGTTAATGTAGTATAAAAGTATGCCTGTATTTAAGTTGTTACGATTTTTATAAATATATATATATATATATATATATATATATATATATATATATATATATATATATATGTTGAATGTTGAATATATATATATATATATATATATATATATATATATATATATATATATATATATATATTCAACATTCAACATTTTCAAAAATGTTGAAATTGGAATTAGTCATTCTGTCAACTGAATGGCTCAAATATATATATATATATATATATATATATATTTATAAAAATCGTAACAACTTAAATACAGGCATACTTTTATACTAAATTAACAAAATTCATTCACTCAGGAGAACCCCGAACTAAACAAACAAAACAAATCTATTTTATTACTAGCAGGGTACCATCTGTCCGCCTAATGGCAGACCACCCATATTTAACAAATTTTACAATTGTTAATTTACTTGTATTACTCTTTGATCAAATTGTATAACTGTAACTTACATTTATTCTGTATTTCAAATTGTATTATTTTTTATCAACATAAAATAAAAAAAGCAAAACCACAGTTCGGACAAATTTCTAATTTCTTTAAAAATCTATACTATATACTGCGCCTTATTACTACTTTATATCATTATAATTATTCTTATTTCTAGAAATAATTCTGAGAATAAAAGTGTGTTGTCTTCGTTACGCTCTGTCCCACTTTGTATTTGTAAAATAAAATATTGTATGGTCATTAAAAACTTTTTTGTATAATAGAGAGATAATGTATTTATTATTTATTTCATCATTAGTTTTACTAATGTTTTGACTTTCAGGTTGCCAGTCTGTCATGGGTAGAAAGAAAAGTTGCGACAACATTGTTTGGCGAGGTACCTTACACTACCTACCCCGAGGCTGTACAATCTTTGACAAAGGCTGAGGAGCTATCCGTAAACCCTTGGAAAGAAAATAGGTTGCTCTTGGCAAAGTGTTATATTCAAGTAAGTAAACCAGAGTCTAATTTTCTTAAAATATATATTTATTACAATTATTCACAGTTCCTTAATTGATTGGAAAATCACTAGTATGTTGAAACTTCTTATTAAATCTGTTAAAATGAATTATTAGTCAAAAAAATCTGGATAATTCATCATATGAGTGTAAAATTAAGCAGTTTTTATTCTGATTGATGTTCTCTGACAGGGCTTAAATGGCTAATTTTTAATATTAGCTTCTCCTAAAGTACCTTTAATTTTAAACAATTGACCATTTCACATTAATCTCGTATATAAAAGATAGTTAAATATAAAATATGGAAGAATTTCATAATTAACTAAAGGAGAAATAAGAAATCATAACGGAGAATAGTTGTAATTGAGCAACCAAAGGAATATCAGCGCACCCGAACTCGTCCGAAAGATTAGAACATGCTTTTATACGTAACATGAGTTTAATATAATACGGACTCCGACAGAAATATATAAATATACATATGTGGTTTTCATAAATGCTATTGCTGGTATTATTTAATATTTAATTGTATAGATTACAGTTATATAAATATTAAAATTTGTATATATAAGTGTACTTATACAAATATAAATAAATATAGCATCTATAATTTTTTATAGAACCGAAATAATATTTGATTTTTTAGTAGTGAAAAACAAAACAAAACAAAATTAATTTTAAAATAGTCCAATAATAAATGTTGAAGTTCACTAGCAAATAACAATTTTTCTTTTAACTTTTAGATTGATTCAATTAATTGTTACTTTTAATTTTATAGTAATATTTAATATTTAATAACATCCAGTAGATTAACTTTAAAAATATCTCTAACCAAATTTGATGACATAACTGCAATGTTAACTCACCGAGGTATTTTAAATGTCACCAATAACACTCTTGGAAGACAAATTCGTTAGAATTTTGATGTCCAGATTGCTGAGATGCAACCCAATCCACACTTCTAACTGGTTGCCACTATACTATCAATCACCAAATCTATCTATCTACCCACACACAATATTTGCTAGGCAACAAGATAGGAATAATATGAGTGGAAAATCCAAGTATACTTTTGCTATATATATCCAAGCATACGTGCTACAAATCTAAAAATCATTATTTTAATATTTTGTTTCTCTTGTTTTCTTCTTCAAGCAATTATTTAATTTTCTTAAGCAATGTACTTAAATTATGCTAAATATGTTTTTGTTTTTTTTGTTTTCCTAGGCCTGTTGACTTCAACTTTTTAAGTCATGAGTCTTCTTCCATAGCCTGGGGCTGTTATAGGCGACAGTAGTGCTCGTTTTGTTCTCTCTTCTTTGAGATATTCAGGGAGTACATGGTTTTTCTAACTGTACATGATCACATTTCACTCCCTCTTCATCAGGAACTTTCCTGGAGGATGGTTGGTAATCTTTCCCTTCAATCTTCCAACCAGTTTTTTGGGATAGGGGATTATCAGCCCAATACTAACTCTCAACCTGGAGGACTAGGTGCTATGGTTTAAGACACAGGGGTCGCTCATCTCCCTATGAATCTCAGGGTGGGGACGTTACTGACTCCATGCGAAAATCGAACCCGCGCCGCGGTGGCATCAGTAATTGAGTAGGGCCTGCACTTAATTTTAACATGAAAAATGTTTAATGAGCATAATTTTATAAAGCTTTCATAAAAAAAAAAATAACAATAATTTTTAATGTTTTTGTTTATACATTTTTATTTTCCTAAGCTTTTGTGTCATTTTTTATTTCTTTTTCATTAAATTCAGTTCACTTTTGTTTATAAAATTACAAGCACGTTTAAAGATGATTTTTGTGAGAAAAAGTCTAAATTATAGTTGAATATTTTTTTTTTTTCAAGTATTCTTCAAACATCAAGATAAGTATGGATGATATTGTACTTCATATCAGTGTAAAAAATTTCTAAATTGATATGATTCTGAATAAAAAGTTGAGTGGAGAGTTGAGGACTAAGAATTGTTCATATTAACATTGTCTTCAAGAATACCTTTCTCCCTATATTAACATAGTCTTGGACCCTCACTTCCAAGCACTAAAGCCAAATCCAAGCTATAGAAATGCGATATTTAAGGAGAATAGACGGAAAAACAAGAAGAGATCATGTTAGCAATGTGACCATAATAGCTAATTTGGACCTGAGGTCTGCAGAGGAAATAATCCAAAAAAACCAACTTGGTTTGGACATGTCTCGCGAATGGCTGAAAATAGAGTTGCCAGGGCTACCTATGAGATCAAAGTGAACAGAAGGTCTTCCCACAGAGAAGACCAAGAAAAAGATGGGATGAAGGAATTAAAGAAGCCTTTGTTAGAAGAGGAATGGACTGGAGTAGGAGAAAACAGCTGGCCCAGGATATAGATTCTTGGATCGAGCTCTATAAGAAGGAACCTCACACTGCTCAGCGGTGACAAAGAGGACTACATTAAGAAGAAGATTGTTCTCAAATAAAGGAAGTTTTGATTTAAGATGGAAAGAAAAAAAAAATTGGTTTTCAATAAGTCTGCTAAATATTAAAATATCAGAGGGAAATGAAATAAGAGATTATACTAATAAATCATTAAGAAATAATAATTTTTTATGCTCTTCTTTTAAAAAAAAAACTCCATTTTTACAAACAGCCTGTTGCACTAGCAGCATCATGTAATTTATCCCAAGATTTGACTATCTTGAGAAAGATGTAATAAACATGGGGTGGGGTGGCCGAGCTGACTAATGCATGTGCGTAGCGCTGCACGTTGCTCAGCAACCTAACAACTGAAGTTATAGAAGATAAAATAATTTTCGAATTCGCATCACTGTGCCAGAGGGAGCTTTTTACTCTGGTATAAATCGCCCGCCTCACATCCCATGTAGCCTAAATGGCGAGGAAGGGGAAAACAAAAAAAAAAAGTTGTAATAAACTTCATTTTTTGTGATAGTATCAGTTTAAAGCAAAGTCTCGTTTAATTACCTTTTGATAACTTCACTTGTAAAAATTATTCTTTTTTTTTTCAGATGGGAGAATACGCTGAGGCTGTGTATTGGCTAGATAAAGCCGATGATGTGGAAACTATTACCAAAGAAGTGAGTTAAATTATATTTTCTTTAAATTTATTTATTTTGGAATAATTTATTATGCATATTCAAGCTACAGATTTAAATATATAAAAGATCTTGGTATTTTTCTAATACTGGGTGGATCCTAATAATAGATAATCCTGGACTACCGGATTTCCCAATTCCTCGATGGGCATGGGGGGAAGGGAGGGGGATTTTGAACCAAGCTTCACAGTCTTGGCATCGTTGTAGATCCTTTATGTCCAACCAGTGGTGTTCTGGAAACTGTGCAGCACATGGTACAATTTTCCGTGGTTCAAACAATTAATTTATGGATAGAAAGCAGTGGTGGAGCCAGCTCACTTTAACCTTGGAATCTGAGGACCCTCAGGAAGTATACTAGAAGGACGACTTAAGAAAATAGAAGATATTATGAAACCATAAATGAAACGAAGAAAATTGACAGCGGTAATATGACATGTTCAGCAAGGGATGGGATATCGAAGGCCCAATATCGATATTAATTTCGGCCTATAACTATCGATACCATAGAAATATCTATAGTTGATATTGAAAATAAATTGAAATAATATCGATATTATAATATTTTGGGTATTTTTTGACTAGCAGGCCGGCAATGACTGCTATCTGCCAATGTTTATAACCTGAACACCGATAATTCCGATAACGCAGTGATAAGCCTTCTCCTACTTCCTATCTTCGTATTATTGTATTATATTCGTATTATTGAAAGTGTAAACAGATACAAAAGCAAATGTAATAACAAAAAAAAAAATTTATTTTACGACACATATATTAATTAAATAATAAAAAACACTTGAAAAACATATGTAGATATGAAAGATGAAAATGAAATAATAAAAAAACATTTAAAGAACATATTCACATAGAAAAGAAAAAAATATCAACACTATAAACAACATATGTACAATTTTCACTTTGTTTTATTTATTTTGGAAGGCAACATTTTTTTATGTTATTTAAAATAGCGAGGAACGGGTCCTCTTCTCTGTGAACCCGCCGCCACAAAAATTCGCACAAATATGAATCGAGGTTCCTCTATGTACTTTATTTCTCCACTTCGCTGAGCCCCATAATCGTTCTATGTGTTGAGTATGAACCCCAGTTGATGAATCGACAAAATTATACTGGTGATTCACTTGGAAATGGTCATACATTGCTTCGTTCAGTTGTCAGGTGTTGTATCCTTTCCAACAGTCCGAATAAATGGTCGTTCCCTCTTCTGTATTGTCTTTAATTGCTTGTAATAAGGTTGTTGCTTTTCTGTCATTTTCTTTGCTTTTCTGCCAAAAGTAAAGAATTTAATAAATGAATGTAATATGGGATTAACTGAAAATTAAACAATGCAATAACTCTAAGGTTTGGCGGGATAAGAGAGGGAGGTTATGTGACGTGACGTTAGATAAGAAGTGAGGTTTCCTGCCGGCCTGCTAGTCAAAAAGTACCTATTTTTGAAGTATCAATATCAATATAATTGATTCTCTAGCACATCAAAAAAAATATTATTTTCCTCTTTAAATTAATTAATAGAAATATCTTCTATCCTCCTTAGTAAAATTAATTTTCTAGTTCCTGTCTATCTTCGTTATCCTCAACTTTTTTCCAGAAATTTCCATTCAGCCAATTATGCTTTCCATTATTTACATCCTATATAGATTTTGTTGCCTTACTTTGGGAAGGTTCTAACTAGCAAATTTGGGCAAATTGAGTTTACTGAGAGAGAAGAGTCCCATGTATGCTATTAAACTCTACTTAGGGATGGTCATCTGTAGTCGATATTATCGAAATATTGATATTTTACTCTACTACGCTCTACATTGTATATGAAACAGACAAGATGAATATAATTTTTTTTTTAATGATCAGATTCATGTATAATTCCTAGTGCTTTCCCGGCGCGATAGTTTTAATTTTAATTTTCATATTAAAATATCAAAGGGTTGATATCGATAGTTGATAGTATTTAAGTAGATACTGTCGATAGGAAGGATGATATCAACTATCCATGGCCATCTCTACATTTAGCTAAGTTCTACTGCTGCTAAATCCCATATTACCATATAGGCTAGGTAGGGATGCAAATAAACAAATCTGTGGCGCCTGTGAAAAGTACGTTCAGTATAATTTTGTGAATTTTAATGAGAAAGAATAGAAAGCTAATTTTTCTCTCTTTATTTGTGTCTAATGGACTAAGTTATATGGCTATTACAGAGATGAACATTCCTTTGTGAATCATGGAATGAAACATGAAAATTAAACCTGCACTTGTGAAAACTCCAAACTTTCAATTGCATTTTCTCATAAATTTGATTTTTGCAGTCAACACAGATATATAATATGCACAGGTGTTGCTGATATAGATCAATATTTTAATATATTGGGACTAGCTATTTTAAATCTTCAAAAAGAGTAGGAATGTGAATTTTAAACAATAATATTGGTAAATATAGTATCAAATATTTTGAAAACTCATTAAAAAATATTTATATTTCAGGTCTTAATATTTTAAATCTTTAAGAAAAGATGTTTCATTAATATTTTTTTTTTTAATATTTCTTTATTGAATAGGGGAGTGGGGTAGCTCAGTGGTGTAAGCACTGACTTCCAGAGCTCAAGGTCCCAGGTTCGAATCTGGCTGATGACTAGTAATTTTTCATCAGCCGTGGGTCGACCCTGGGGCCGGGAGACCCTCCTGGGATATACCCAGCCTCTATAAAGTGGGTACCCATAATTAAATAATTAATTATTTATTAATTATTTAACCCGTCAACTCCCTGCACTACCATTAGCCTAGTAACAGTATTTCCTCACATTGTACTGAACCCATAACCCTTCAGGGGTTGTTAGTGATATAGTTTTTTTTTTTTTAATAGTAATATATTTTGCCACAACTAAGGATATTAGTAATAGTGACACAATACAATAAATAAAAATAAGTTAAATGAAATAAAATAAAAAATACTAAAAATATTTTATCAAAATAAGAAATTTAATACAGGCATATTTATTCATTATCAGTAGAAATAAAATATATATCAACACTATAGGTATAATATTTATTATGTCTTTCTACATATTATTGTTTTCTTATTTAATGGGAGCGGAATAGGTGAGTGTGTTCGAGTCAGGCTGATGACTAGTAATTTTTCATCAGCCGTGAATACCCAGGGATACCCAGTCCCTATATAGGTACTATTAATTAAAACCTGGTGGTTGAGTGTGGTCTTGACCCAATCACCTCCCTGCACAACTGTTGTCCTTGCAACTGTACTTTCTCGAGGTACTATTTAGCTGGCGCGGCCTACTACAGCGACCACAATTTCACGCTGCCAACCGCTGTTGCGTAGCTATTTCGCTGAAACTGCTCTCTAGGGTTCTTATAACCTGCCTATAAACTTCAAACATTTCGGTTTATCTTCGAAGATAAAAAAATGGACATCCTATCTCTGACTACCGCTTTTTTATTTGAGGAGGAAGAAGAAGAGGAAATGTTCACAAGGAGAAGGAATATCAGTATTTCAATGAGATGCTCATCATTCAAATCATCAAATCTCTTCTTGGAGATTGTAGGCTATAGTCTAGATGAACAACCAAAAATTGAGGAACAACAAAAAAAGAACAACAGGCAGGAAATGCCGTACTAACAACAATAGTCCCTCTGATATTAGATATTATTAGTTTGAAAAGTAATATTAATTATTACATAATTTATTTGTAATAAATATCATATATTTGTAATTAAATCCCAATAGGCGATGTTTTATAGTTTGTCAATAGTAATCAGTAAATCACCACTTTAATTAAAAAATACAAATCGATTTTTCAATGGGTGGATTTTAGTATTTATCTGATATTAAAATTTGTTGGATTCTTTAATTTATTTAATATCGCTTGGATTTAGGTATATTTGTATTTCAATGTAAAATATTGTTAGTGGAATAAATAAATAAATAATCTTGTTACTTCAACCTTAAAAAAATAATTTACTATTGCATTGTTTCAGTTTTAAACAATATTTGTTATAATTTTGCCAGACTTAAAAGAAACATAGGAAATAAAATGTATCAACGTGACTGTTATCATCAAAACAATGCTCTGATATGATAACATAACCTACAACCGCCAACAGCTCCACTGCTTCAGGAGGAGTCAGATAGGAGCAGTTTAGATATGGTGTCATACCTAGACTGCCGAGCAGCGAAATAGTACCTTTACATAGTACAGAATCCAAGACTCTTCATGGATTGTAGTGGTACAGGTTTTTTTTTCTTATTATATTTATTTTTTTTTTTTTAGGATCATAAGGCTGAAATAGAAATATTGTCACTTAAGAAGAAATATCAGCACCATAGAGGAACGTAAGAACTGTTATTTTAAACATTCGTGCTCTCTATTTGGTTTATATGAAGTGCACATTAGGTGGCTAGTAGTAGAGGTCATATACGTGTGCATTTCTTTTAAAATATATTTATTTTTTATGCATGATATGTTGAATTTATCTATATGTATCTTTGTCCAATGTACCAGAGAGGTCTATAGTAGTTAAATATGTCCGTGTATTCATGTTTGTCGTTTGTATGTTTGGATTGGGTCATTAGATGGTTATGGTTGGTACGAGTATTTGTATCTTGTAGAGATATTTTATAAATCAAAGAGATATAGTTCAAATTTTATCAGATGCGGCTGTGTTTATGATGATACCTGCAAACTTCCTGTTTATTATTTTTTAAAGTTTATTTTTGATTTTAAATGAAATATTTTCCACATTGATAATTTTTAAGTAATAACATTTTGATATGTATCAATTATTTGTATACTTAGTATCTGCTGTTATGCGAGGTTGTCACAAAATATCAGATAGCTCCTAAATGTTGATTTAATTTAAAATTAACTTATGTTTTATTGTTATTAGCAATATAATACGTTTAAAGTCTTCTCATCATTATCAGTTTTGTTGAATAATTATGAATTGTTTACCCTTAGGTGTCTATTTTCTCGACATGTTCTATAAGTATAATAATTATAATAATTAATAGGCTAGAAAAAAAATTGTTCCAAAGTTTATTTATTTACTTCTAAACTATATTTATTATTAAATAATTAATGAGCATTTATTTTAATTATTGTAAGGACCAAAATTTGTTGGTTTTTTTTGCATTTTTCAAAATCTTTAAAATTTTATAAAAATGGTTAGTGATAATTAGTTGTTTAGAAATAACTAACTGATTTACTATAAATTATTAAGTTTTATATGTATAAATGTTTCTATATAAAGCTTGTACTAAATATTTTATTTTGAAAATTCAAATTTAAAAAAGTATTTGTCGATATTAACTAATGTTTTTCATTAAAATGTTTAAGTATTTACTTTCAAGTTTAATGTGAGCTACATTCCAACAGAATTAGTTCCTTACCAAATTTTTCATTAACATAAAAAATTTAAAATAATTTTAAATTTAGTTTTCTTTTATATTAAGGATTAGTGACTATTAAGAATGATTTGAATCTGTTGGTGAGTAGCTTAGTTTTACAATATGCCAAATATTACAAAACTCAGTTTTGTATGTATATTAAAACAAAAATGTTTGATTTTTTTTTTTTTAATGGTGAAATACTATATTTTAACACATTAGTGGGAGCATGACTTCCAATTCTTTAAAGTTAAACTATCAAAATCACAGTTTTGTTATGCATGTGAGTGAATGGTGGCCAAGCCAATTCAGATTTCCAGGGGTTTGAATTATCGAGACTGTCCTGTAAATATCTCATATTGCATTGACTACAAAGTTGTAGTTTTAGTTATTGGGTTCCTAGTCTGTGTTTGGTAGGACAAGTTTCTAAACTCAGTGCTGAATCCATCAATGGAATCATTGATCAGTTGATAAATTATCATTTTACTGAATCAAGTAAATTGTAAAATAACAACACTGGGGCTATAATGAGTTAATTCCAGCACATTTATTGACTCCTATAGACAATAGAACTGCTAATTCATTGATAATACAATCAAAGTGTGGAGAGGCATGCTGAATTCCATCAACTGTTGCCATTAATGAGTTTAGGAATGGTCTGATAGATTTCTGATACTATCAATGAGCTCAGTGCTGAGTTCAGAAACTTTCCCATAATTTATAACCTTTAAGATGTGTCACTCGCCTATTCTCTAATGGCTTCACAATAAATAAAATAACAATAAAATTAACCCAAAATCAAAACATTTATTTAATGCAACACAATAATTCAAAAAATTTATGATATTTATTTTTTTTTTTTAATTGTTGTTTTATATTCATTGTTGTATTATTATGTTTCTAACTATATGCATACATTTTCCTTCCATTATCATATTATCTAACCATTGGTTGCTCATCACAGATTTAAAGAATCATTTGTTTAATTACGTATACGAATTAGTTTGTTTTAATATTTGGCATTATGTATCATTTTTATTATCATTCCAAAACTTATATCAAATATTTGATTTCCTGGAATTAAATGTTTAAATTTATTTATTTTTTTAATTAGTTAAGAAATATATGAAGTAATTAAAATATGTTTATGATCATTGCCAGGATCAAGTTGAGAATTATATTTGGCCTATGATTTATTTGAAACTGTAATGGCCTATGTACACTCAAACCAAAAAGTTATATTATTATTTTTCTTTTATGTTTAAAAATGTTCGCAATTCATAATAAAATATAGGTGCTCTAATTTATTCATTTTTTTTTTTTTTTTATGACAGTTTCTATGAAAGTGCTTATATTTTTTGAGTTGTTGATTTACATATAAAATACTAAGCTATAAAATATTATAAATTAAAATAAACACACGAGCTTCAATAGCTGCCTAGTTTATTTATTTTCTTATCTCCAAACAAAAGAAAATTTAAAATTCTTTATTTTTATGATTGATTTTCATTTACTTCTCGAGTATTGCCCGAAAGAGTTTAATTAATTTATTTATTTATGAGTTTAAGAGATTGTTTAATATATGAAAATTAGTTTCTTCGATAAATGATAGCGTCCATTTACAAAAATAAACATAATATAAGCATTCAATAAATGACTGAAATAAAAAACCAATAACTAAATATATTTACAAAAATTATTATTTTGGCATTCATTTAGAATAATGTTTTTTTTTTAATTTATATATCTATGTGTATGTATATGGAGCCTATGGAAATGGGTCCACATTATTAATTGTTATGATTTCTCATGAACTATTTGTGTTTTATTTACGTAAGTTTTATTTCCATTTTGTGTATCATTATATATCTATACAAATTCATTATTATTTTATTAAAATTTACAAATCTATTATTGTTCTATTAAATCCCCTTAGTATGTTAAATATCATCCAGCAATCTGTTGCAACCATCAGTAATGGCAAAAATTATTTTATTTTTTTATTTTGTTAGTATTAATCTATCTCATGTAGTGTTGTAAAAATAAGCCTCCAGCTTCGGCTCATAGAGTTCTAGCCGTGATGAATTTATTGTTAAAAACAAAAATTAAATTATTGAACATTTTCGTAAGCAAATATATTTTTTCTATTAGTTGTAAAAATGTGAATATATTTCCAAAATTTTTGGAGCCCCTCTTGGCAATATGTTACGAGTAGGTGGATGATACTTCATTTTATTGTTTTGTTTTTTTATGGGAGGAGGGTGTTTAACCCCACTGATTTTTTTTTTTTTTAAGATGAAATAGCAATATGATTGGATAGGTGGGTGTTTTTCATTGTTTACTTTTTTTTTTTGTGATTACTGCTACAAATTTTTTTAAAGATAAAATGGCTATATGTTTGGATAGATGGGTGATACTTTTTCTACTTTAATTTTTTTTTTTTTTTTTTTTTTTTTTGTGGGGGTTAATTACGCTCTTCCCTTCTCCATTCCCTTCCTCCCCCCGATTTTTTTTTTAAATAATGATATGTTTGGGTAGTTGGGGGGTTCCTTTTTTGGGGGGTTCTCAATAACAAGTGGGAAACAATAGACTTTGTTTCAGTTAAAACTATAATTCAAGTTACCGCCAAAGATGTAATACTATTAACAAACATCATGTAGAACAATTTACTCCATTATAAAAATCGTAAAACAATTTAAAAAGTCCATTAGCAAGCATATGGTATGAAACAAATAATGTTCAAGTCACGACTCGAACGTTTTACTGGTGAGCTCTTAGGACTCAAGCCTTGGCCTGGTCGGGAAAGCTCGAGACTTTTTGGCTCAAGTCTTATATTACGGCCTTCTTTTTACAACACTAATCTCATGTGATAGCTGTCAAACATAATTAAATATATCTGTACCCTGTAAAGGTATAATATATCTGTAGAGATAAAGAACATCATGTCACTTTTTCGTATATGTTCAGTTAACTTTGAGCTACTAAAATTTGTTTCTTAGTTACTAAATCTGTACTCCAGAGATAAAAGACACCATGTTACATGTCTATACTTGTTCACGGGATCCAATTTTCCATAACTTTGAGCTATTAAAATTTGTTTCTTAGTTACTAAATTATTTAATAAAAAAATGGACATGATGTCTTTTATCTCCGGAGCATAGATACAGATTAAATATATTATAGAAAGTTAAATTTAAATTTTCTTATTCTCAAACCCTATGAAAATTGGATTACTATATATTCCTGTGTTACCGATGTAACATAATTTAAAGTAATAGTTTTATTAAATAAATTAAAGGAATTTATTAACACTTTTCTGTAGAAGAAATAATTTATTTCAATACATACCAAAATGATAAGTATTTATTTACTTTCACCTTTCTTTAAAAAAAAAAATAACAATTCACTTGAAATTGAACAATATAATCAAAGTAATAATAACTTTAAAATCAAGAAAAGCTGTTTATAATTTATGTTAAAAAAAAGAGAGAGAGAGAAGCCGTTACATGAGAAAGGAGTAAAGCCAAGAAAAATATAAAAATAATTTGGTAAATTAATAAATTCAATTGTTAGTATATAGCTAGGGGTCTATTGAAAATGTTATTATCTCAATTATCTACTTAAACAATAATTAAATAAACAAAAAAAACATTTTTTTGTTACCTCATTAAAAATCTTACATCTTTATATACCATATTTATATCAATGTTAAATATTATTTTTGTTCAACTATATTTTTAAAATTGTTATTTAACTAGATATATTTATACAAATTACATGTATGTTAATCTTGCACAAATGTTTTTATTTTTAAGAAGAAACAAACTTTACATACAAGGTGATGTTAATATCATATTTAAATTAATAATTGAATGTACAAAAAAATATATATAAATACTAATTTATTGTAGTTTTTATTTAATGTTCTCCTTTCATTATTTTAGTGCAATTATATAATATAATTATTATATTATATTATATTTTATTTTACTTTATGGATAAAAAAGTAACTGTTTCGTTTCTGGCTATCATCTTTATAAAGAAACAAGTTGGGCCTTGCAAATAATTCGCACATTATATTGGTCAGTGAACAAATGGCTTGATAATAAAGAAATAAAATAATGTAGTGTACCATAATTCTTAATTAAGTGTCATAAAATGGAGGAATCAATTCTTATTTTCTCTGTAATTGTAATCAACCAAGGAAAACAAATTTTAATTCTTATTCATGTTTTCTTTTTTATTGTAGTAATGAGTTCATGACGCAATGATACAATACAATACAGCATTATAGTATATCTAGGAATTACCCTCGATAAGAATCTAACACTGACTCGCCATTGTAACAAGAAATTAAAATTGTTAGGACCAAGACATATGGGTCAACCACCTATTGACTTCTCCTAACTTATCCCTCCACCTTAAATTAACTATTTACAAGAGTATTTTAAGACTGGCCCTCCTTTATAGAACACCAATACTATCTAACACACCGCTAGCAATAGCGAAGAAGCTCCAACAGTTTCAGAATGGTTTGCTAAGAAAAATAGTAAGACACACGACTATACAAAAAACATGTACAGACCTACTACCACACCACAATACAATACC